GATGATCGATTTATTGAACACTTACAGGTCGTAACTACAAGTAACTACAGCGCTATCTCTGAGTCACACACTTTGCAGTTCACTACAGCAAGTAAGAAGTCTTCTCAGTTTGCCGTGTCTTCACCAGTCGTTGTCTGGTAACGGTTTCCAACACCGTAGCTTCCGTGTTCACGTCCTTACTCGCTGGCGACTCTTTCACAACCAACTCATAGCTCAAACTAATTCCCAGGCTGGCGGCCATCTCACACCAATCTCCTACTATTCTCACTGCCGTCTGAAGACCCTCTTCTAATAGCATAAGGCCCGCGTTATATATCCTCACCGGGACCGCACACAGAACACAGCTTTCAACATCTCTTCTCTTGTTGCATACGTGTCTGTTGTGGCCATTACCTAGCAACGGCTGCTGTATAGCTGTTTATTTCGCAGTCGTTGCCTAGCAACGGGTCTATAAGTCACAAAAAATACATACATATATTACAAGAAAACACTAATGATGGAATCTGAGCAGTAAACTCTGTCACATCAAAAAATCTAATTGCCTGTGTATGACGATGCTGGTTCCATCCTACATTTAAAACACAATCTCGTACGTTTATAACGACGATGGAATGATCCACGTTACTAACTGGCAAGGGACCCTCACAGAAGTTTAAGACACTGGATACTGTACAATCTTGGGCAGACACGTAACCTAATTTAGCCACGGCAACCGCTGTGCCCCTGCACTGATTCTGCTTGTGATCCAGCTCAATCACATGTGCCGGAAGCCACCCACTCACGCTGGTTCCTCGTTCGCGGATTTTTCTACCCTCAAGACTGAGGCCATACGTTCCTCCGAAACGACGTTCACACAAGATGCACACGGTGCCACATCCCAGAAGATGGCATTCTTCACATACTACGCAGGTTCACAGTTCGTAACTCCACTGAAAATTTTGGGTTCAATTAGGTAAAAGACAAAGATGTGTCCATTTTGAAAAATATGCAGCCGATTGAGGCATTATGCTGCAAGCCGTAAGGTTTCGGGTTCGACTCCCGATGATGTCATTGGATTTTTCTATTGACTTAACCCTGTCAGCCACACTACGGCCCTTGGGTCGACTCAACTAATAGAAATTAGTATCAGGAATCTTCCTGGGGGTAAAGGGCTGCCGGTGTTTTTTTTTATTTTTAAAAAATAAATCATGTATAAACACAAAAGGCCTAGGCAATGCCCATCCGGCCCTCCGTAGCACATTCTTATAAACATCTTATTCTATCACAGCGGTCATCATGCCAATTTTGAACATCTCTATTACTATTACTATTTTAATTCTGTACATTTACTTCTTTTTTTTCTATTTTTAAATAAATTTAGGGAATTTGTTCCCGAAGTAACAGACGCCTTGCACAAATCTTTATTCCGCTAGCCTTAAAGGTTCGCCCACACAGAGCGCCACGTACGCTATGTTCGCTATACGAACAGAAAAATATCTCCCTTTATTGCCAATGTGACTGGCCACACAGACTCCCGTATGCTACGTACGCTATGTTCCCTGTGTTAGCTGGGACGCGGAGTGTACACAGCGTACGTAGCGTACGTAGCGAACATACCGTAGCGCTCCGTGTAGCCGAACCTTTAGAGCTCTGTAACTGACTTTGGGTCAGTACACCGATTGTCTAAGAAATGTGGGTGCCTCGATGTCTCACATCCCTATGGGCCTCCAAGGTCTGTTACAGGGAGAGATTTACCTTTACCTTACGCACAAACTGGGGGAATGCTCGCGGAACTTGGCGAGAGACTGTGGGCTGAATTCACATCCCTCATGACAGGACCCTAGTGGAGGGATTTTGCAGAATTGAGATACAGCTTAATGTTACCCTTACATCTCCTCCGCCTCCCTACCAGTTACTTTACAAGAGACAGATTTTTTCAATCTCCTGTATTCTAGAAAACAGAAAACACGACGTCTCGGACATCTCTCAAACAGACCACGTTTTACACCCGTACAAAATAACTGGTATTCGGAAAATACCACCAACAACTTCGGTCGGGATACTTGATTAATAACGGATAATTTTAGTGGCTTTGTGCTGATTTCGAACACAATTTTTAAGTATTTAACATTCCTGAACATCATTTCTTGTCATTCTACGATACATGAAGTATGCAAAGCTGTTATTATATACAAAAACACTCAATCAAATCAATCAATCAGAGGAATAGGGTTATGCATAGGGTTGTTAAGTCTAACAACTAACTAGCCAGAACGTTTAATTTATTCCCTGTGAGAGCGATGTATTCTGTCAGTCTGCGTCCTACTGCACACCGTTAATATACGCTCAAGACAGATAGAAGGCTCTTTGTTTCCAGACTTAATATTCCAAGAAGCGCATGTCCCGTTTATGCACGCAGTCCCTTCAATTCAAGCAGCTATTTATAGCTAAGCAGCCCACATTATTACTTGCACTCTCGCAGCGTACACACAAGCACCATTACAGCCAGAAACAAGTTTCCCCAGCTGACCGCTCTACCGGGTGTTACAGAGGCGCTACAGTTTGGCGGACAACTGCTGCACGCGGTCGCCTTTACACAGCTGACTACTCTACTGGGTGCGTCTCAGACGTCACATTTAGGCGAACGTGGCAGAAAACAAAACAAAAACTCCGTGATTTTAGTCCGAAAGCGAACTTACCGACCAAGCGACCGTCACCTGTCGGCGAAGAACGTGGCAGCCATTAACAAATACAAAGCCAAGAGAATGCAGCCACTGTGGTTAGCCACTATCAGCTGTGGAAAACTCGCTCCACACTCTCGGCTTTATACAGCTCTTCCATTGCTGGATCAATGTACACTACAGGTAGGTGTACGCAGCAGCCAACAACTGCTGCACTCTCTCGACTTCAAAATTAAGACTTACTCACTCTATCGGGTGTGGCACAGGCGTTTAAATTACGCCGGGGAGGCGGAATGAAACATCGTGTCGTTATCAAAGCTTTATCGCATTCGACTGTCTCAAGACATGAGTTCTCCACTGCTGGTAACTCTACCGGGTGTGTCGCCTTCACAACGATTTCGTGTGCACATTATGAGGCTGCCTCTTACCTGAAACAGAGAGAAAACGAATTATAAAGCAAAGTTTCGTATTTTTCAAAATATTACTAACATCTGCGGCAGGGCCGCACCATAGCTGAAGCGGTTAGTCGCTGGCTTCCCACCGCGGCGGCCCTGGTTCGATCCCGGGTTTGGTCAAGTGGAATTTGTGGTGGACAAAGTGGCGCTGGGGCGGGTTTTCTCCGAGTACTTCGGTACCCCCTCCCAATCTTCATTCCACCAATTGCTTCACAATCACCCTCACCTATCATCTGGGGCTGGTACAATAGGCCAGAAGTGGCCGCAGTACAAGGGACTTGGTCACAGCCCATTAGAAAAAAAAAGACTGCGGCAATGAAAATTTTCTCACAAATATGGCTGTGATGACAATAATTTCGGAGCAGCCAACATGAAATATACTACGAAAGGAATAGCAGAATACCGCATATTTGCTGAGTACCAGCCTTCGAATATCACGATGAAATCGTTCTGTAACTGCCAGGCATCTTCGACTTCATTTACCGCCAGTACTGGGGCAGCTTCGTGCCTCTTACCATCAGAGAGCACTGGAATATCGGATACTGCCAACAATGTTGACATTTCATGTTGATATAACCCTTTAAAGTTCAGTGGTTACTATATGTATCATCTTTAACACACAGAAACCCTACATTTTGCCCTCAGAGTGTACATGTGTGTTCCGTATGGTTCTCACGGTAAACTGCGACTGTTTCTCTTAAATAGAATCCGCTGATCTTTGTAGTGGAAACGTGTTTCCTGTGAGGTACGAACTGAAGTTTTACACAGAATGTTCAAGGAAGAAAAATCAATATTCTGTGAGGTCATAGTATCGGTCATTATAATCAAGAAAACTGTATATTCACGTGTGTCCTATTCCGAACGTTTTCCGACATACAGCTATCTCACTGTACACTTCCAAAATTGTTGATAAGAGATATTACGTATTACATATTTCTAACACCGGTATTTATTGTTCAAGTGACAAAGTTAGTACAGTTTACCTATATAATACATTTTAGAAAATTCCGCCGTCAACATCAATGCACTTTGCAACTCGTGTGAGGTGGCTCCGTGTTGCTCGTCTTTACAGAGTAGTGTACAGTGAAATAGCTCTATCTCGGAAACCGTTCGGAAAGGGACACGTGTTCATATACACTTTCTTCTTCAGAATGACCGACATTATGACCTCCCAGAATATTCACTGTTCCTCTTGGGACACCTGTATATTGAATAGATGCGTCAATAGACGCATTATGTGGCCCTCAATTCTTTACTCTTATGCTCCCTGAGGAATTCGGGAAGCTTGAAACCAAATGGCACTAACATATACATTAAAACAGTCAATAACAAAGGGATCTGACAATGGCCGGTCTGTTTCCGTCCTCACGTGAAACGGTGTGGAGGCGCCTACTTCAGCTCATTCCATTACAAAGAACCGATCTCCATCATGGGACAACATCACGCGAGGACACTGAAACGGCTTAAGCTAGCTTGTGCTTGACTTTCGACACACGCCCAGTAGAATGAATGTTATGCACAGATCTGGAGAACATACGTGTACAAGTTGCCATCTTCAGTGTTAATGTGTTTGGAAGAGGGAGGCTTTTGAAGAATTTATCTGCCATGCCTGCAGATCCAGCGGCGAATGCGTGGAAACCGTGACCCACTTTAATCTCCACACCTTGGGACAAAAGAGACAGTTTTCGGGTGACAGCAGTTACGAATGTGTGATGCTCAGTTCCTGGCCTTGTGAGGAGAGAGAAAGTGTAAAAAGCAGTTGTTTGCTTAAGGCCACTTCAAAACTTGGCAAACATATTTTGAACGAGTAGTGTCTAGGTCAAGAAAACATGGATATGTCGTCAGTGCGTGGAGTTTAATTAGTTGAGGACTGGGACAATTTTACCTTTTAGAGCTTCACATCGAAGATCCCTGTTCTGGATACACGCAGCACTTGGCCATATGCACACTGCTGATTGTCCATGTGCAGTTATTCCTCCTGCCCCTTCTTACGTGGTTTAGGGTTGTAAACGATTTGTTTCCTGTGCACTTGAAGGTTACTCAGGTCATCAAGAGGAATGTGTCTTTCTGTTGGTCATTACGGCATCCCCAGGAGCCCGGCACTGGACCCTATCCTGAGATAGTTCGCATCCTACCTCGCAAATATACAGTTATACGCAGAGAATCACCGCGTGCATGGAAAACGCGCAAAACGTGGAAAGCACCGAACGAACACTGTTCATTAGTGCGGAGCAAGTGACTGAGTCGACTGTGAGACGGGTGAGGGGAACTTTGCGCGCTCCTCACCGGACATGCGCGGCAGCTTCTGCCGTGAACGCGGATAGGACATTCATGCTCGTCATGACACGGAAGCAAAACTGCAGATATTCATAAACGGGGATGACGAAACTGTGCATAACTAGAGTCAACCGTGTTTTAATATTGTCCTCACATAGGTCTCCACTGTGATCTCTTGAAGTTTCTGACCAGTAAACTCTTCAGGTTTTCCGATTAAAATTTTATCTGCATTTCTCATCTTATGCCTACTACACGCCACAAACACCTAACCCCCTTACATTTGATCACTGTAATAATATATTGTAACGCGCAAGTGCGCGATAAATACTTTCTCGCCTAAGCGAACGCAACAGTAGGACGAATGTTTACGCTCGTTGCTAGGAAACAGTCAGCACGCCAATGGACTGGCGAGATAGCTATCACGTGACTTGTTTTCAGTGTGGTTCGCACCATGCCCAGTGCTAAGCAACAGAAGCTGTAAACACACATCCTTAACAATAGGATATGGTCTTTTTCCGTGGATCAGTCCAGAGGAGTTATCTTGAAGACCAACGGCGCTACAGGACAGTTCTCTGTAGAGACAGCCACGGGAAATTTGAGTTTACGTTCAGAAGAGTTAAAAGTCCAGGGGAAGTTTTGGTTGAGTTCCAAAGTCACTGAACAAGAAATGGCAAGGGGACTTCATAGTGATTTGAAGTGCTAGATTCTGTGTTGAAATCCGTTGCTAGGAGACGACTAGGCGAAACTGAGAATCCTAGTGCGTGAGCAACGGTGAACTGTAAATTGTGTAAAGCAGCGACAGCGCCGTATTTAAGCGTGATTAAGACAGACTGTAACCAAGGTGCCAATAAACCCAACCATCCCATCTACAACCACTCACTCTCGTCACGCGACAATATACAGGGCTACTATAAAAAAATCATTCGTTTTTAAAACGCTATATTTTCCAAAGTATTACACGTACAAATATGATTGATATATAAAAAGAACCGTAAACTCACCAAGTTTGTATTGTTTGCACCAGTTGGCAGCACGAGTTCAGTGCCTTTACAAAATGGCGACAAAGCAAGAAAAGAGGTTTTGTTTGTTGAATAATGCGAGATGTTCGTCTGTTATAGCAGTGCAACGCGCATTCAAAAGAGAGTACGGAAAAGAACCGTCATGTAAACAAAGCATTTTGCGGTGATATCGGCAATTTAAGGACACGCTGGATTGGGAGTGTTGGTGAGGATGACGTAGCTCTGTTCACTTGGCCCCCCAGATCACCTGATCTAACGCCTTGTGACTTCTTCCTTTGGGGGTACATTAAGGATCGTGTTTACGTACCCTCACTGCCAAGAACACTAGTAGAGCTGAGGGAATGCATCGATGCTGCAGTGATGACCATTGACAGGATGATGCTACACAATGTGTGGAACGAGCTCGACTACCGCCTGGACGCGTGTCGTGTGACCCAAGGGGCACACATAGAACATTTGTAGAGTGAGAAGAAAACTTGGTGAGTTTACGGTTCTTTTTATATATCAATCATATTTGTATGTGTAATGCTTTGGAAAGTATAGCGTTTTAAAAACGAATGAATCATTTATACCAGCCCTGTATTATGTGTGTCTCGTATTCCCGCTACTTGTCACCCTTCCTTCCCTTACTATCCTTAACTATATGAGGCATGGAGAACAACGTACGCCATGCCTCCTTAGGTTCAGGCATCCTGCTAAACACTTCCCTGATATCCTGTCCGTAACTTTAATTAAGAGGGTACTAGTGTAACACCTGCAGAGAATTCAAACTTAATTTGTTATATATTTTTAGTTTAAGGTCTTTTTTTTTAAGGTCTTTCATTCTGGTCCGTCACACTAACCAATTAACAATCAAGTTCCTTCCGTCAAATGTCACATTTGACGGAAGGAACTTGATTGTTAATTGTTATATATGTTTTGTACTACTAAGTTTCCCGTTTTCCCTCACATTCCTGTCTAATTCTACAAGTTATTGAATGATACGCTGAGGCCGACGTTTATCTCCCACGCATAACATGCACAAATAGCCAGCTGTAAACCTACCCCTTATATAGTAACTACTCTTCAGATATCGACATCACAGTATCATCGATATTGGACACAATACGCTGAAACAAAAGACTACTCGCTCGATCGTGATATAATATACAACATGCAATGTGTTGATGTTCTAGAGTTCGTTGTTATGACAACACGAAACTGCGCAATCTCGAACCTCTGACCTCCCTTTTACATGACTTTTTTTTCCAGTGTATGTGAAACAATTGGGAAACAATTGCTATCGTGAGAACCAAACGGAACACACAAATGCACTCTGTGGGCAGAATGCAGAGTTTTAGTGTGTTAAAGTGGATGAGGTACAACTGACCATCCCCGATGACCATCGCTGGTTGCCAATTATAACTGCCTTCCTCTTCATTGGCAACTTACACCACGCGTTGGTCGCCACTCGTGGCTGTCCTTTGCCCGACTTTACGTCACTTATAAGTGCCTTCACCTGTACCCCTTCCTTTCCCTGTGCTGCGGCTCACCTGCGCCGTGTTCCTGGACGCCTCCACTGAGTTACACTGCCCTCCTTCCCTGTCTCGTGGATGGCGAGAGGTTACGTGAGAAGCGAGGAGAACTGTGGTTGCTGGGGCTAGTAGGCAAGGGTTCCTTGCCTGTACGATTAGTATGGTGTCTCGCAAGTAGGGAAAGTCGGGGGTAGCTGGGTTCTGCTCCGGAATGGTAGACATGAGTTCCTATCTAGGCCATACGGGCCTGACTCGGGCAGGGCAGGAGGCTCCTTAGGCTACTGTCACATACACCACTACAAGCAACTTTGCACTTTCGGCAATTATATATTTAACTTTAGCTAACGCTGAACATGACGGAATCTCAAATAGTTTACACTTACGTGGACTGAACTTGTACGACTTCTAGTGAAGTCACGTAGTTTCTGTGTCTGAATTGGCCGAAAGTTTTTAAGGAGACTCTTCTCTGAATCCTGGGGTCCACGAACCACAGCATCCAAGAGAAATCCACTCCTCCTACATGTGCTATTAGTCTAGTTTAAAACTAGGAGGTTCCCTAAACTAGTGAATTTCCAATCAGGTTGCTTTGCTATGATTCTAAAGTTGACAGCGGCTTGATGTATTAAGATCAGGAGATGAGACTCAGGCACTCCCACTTCTAAGTTATAGCCGTTCCAAACTGTCAGCTCTCAAATTCCCAAAGACCTTCCGGCTCTGCTGAAACTGCCAGAATTCCAGGAAATGTACCAGATGTTACTTCCTGTCCACATAGCAAAACTTTAACTATGTCATTTCTCAGTGTAAAAAGGTGGCCATCTGCCTGATCTTTGTTTGTATATTACGTGATCTTATCTTAATAAAATTTCAATTAACATGAAACGGTCCGGCAAATTATGATGAACGGTTACAGAGCTTTAAAGGGTTAATGCTGTTCAGGGAAATAACCGTCGTTTATTGTGAGAATCATACGAAACGCGAAATTATTTACTTTACTAACCGTCGATATAATTTCAGTGGTGACTAATATTTTTGTTTTATGTATTTTAAGTCATATATACAGGAACTGAGAGCCACTAATGTTGTATGACTTACACAAGATAAATATAAGAACTGTAATGCATCTACAGCTTATGCTGTCAGTATAACATCAATACATTGTACCATACTTGTATTTATTAACTGACAGGTAAATATTCCTGTAGAAACGTGGATTGATTTTGCTTAAAGGGTTGTTAACAGAACACCCTTCATGATGGCCGTTTGAAGAGTCGACACGTGTCAGGGTATTGAGATTATAAATATTATTTTAAAACGTAATTTGATGGGGTTTAGTAAATTACGTTATAACACAAAAACATATTGTTGTTTTGTGTTAACAGTCTTTGTGTTTATTCCAATGGACACTATGAAGGCATTCTCATTGGTCTGTCCGTGTGGAGCATGTTATGTGTGCAGCTCAGCTGAAATGTATGAGTACACACTCAAAGCTTTCATTTACTCTCAATATGAATTTATATTTTCCTAAAAAGGCTCCGGGCAAAAAAAAAAAAGCAATAGAGGAATGAGAGATATGAAACATAAAGCTACCCCTATGCAAATGTATACGGGGGCGTGAAGGTATAACCGCATGCATTATAAACCTCTGGGCTCGATAGTGCCAGTTTTCCTTCCAACTCTGTTACACTAAAGAGAACCCGGTGGTACACTGGAGCCTGTCTGAATCTGGCGACGAAGAAGTCGCTCAATGCCTTTATCAGGAACTGAACCCCAGCCGTCCAACCACGGTCAGTCACTTGATTTCTCTGAGCTACGCGCAACGCGGGGGATACGCTGAATGTTCCCATTATTATTATTATTTTTGGAGGGTGTGGGGTTCCCCATGCACTGCGACCAGTTGTCGATCTATTGTGCGTCCCCATTTAATTTCTACCGTCGCCATGCCCTTCCAGTACTGGTGCTCGCTATCAGCCCCGTTCTGCCAGCGAGGTCGGCCCTCTCTATCAGTGGTCCCCGATACTTCGCCATCTACCGGAGGAATTGGAAACTATTTGGGCGGGAAACTTTGCCTAATTTTGCTCAGATGTCTCCTAGAGACATGAGGATCTTTTACGTGTCGTAAATCTACGACACGGGACACACGGCTTGAAGTCCCTCCCGGAGGACTTGTTCCCTGAATTTTTCCGCCCTTAAAAATTCCACGACCTTGAGTCATGAGGTGGGAACGTTACCCCTAGACTACGGAAGCCGCTTGAATGTTCCCATTGTTATACTAGTATATGTTGGATAAAATAAACCGTGTTGGTTACACAGCTACGTAGGCAACAGCTAAAATGTCGTGTGCGTCTTAAACAATAACGATATACGTGTATATTTCGTATAGCTACTAATACTGAGTGTCTGGCAAAATTAGTGTAATCTGTGTAGAA